ATGTCTATACTTATGAATACATGCTTATATGTGTATATGTGAACGTGCATGTGTGTGTGTTGGAGTATGTATGTGTATTTCTATTCACCCTGACAAGTTGAAAAAAAAAAAGGAAACAGGTAGTACATATTGTACTTAGAAAAAGAAATCCATTACCAAATGATGGTTGGAGTTAGAGAATTAAGGAAAAAAAAAAAAAGGAATGGCTCTGATGTGCTTAAAAATTTCTGCACCACAAGGCTGGGGCTGTAGCTCCGTGGCAGAGCTCTTGCCTAGCATGCGTAGGACACTGGGTTTGATCCTCAGCACCACATAAAAATAAACAAATAAAATAAAGGCACTCTGTCCATCTACAACTACAAAATTTTAAAAAAATCCACACATCATCAATCATCTTATTCTAATAGTGGCGTTATTCATAGCATCTCCTCTTTGTAGAATGAGTCTCCCTGCTCCTTCTCTGAACCTGATTAGTTCCCATTTTTTTTACACAAGTATACAAAGACACTGCAAAATACTACCTCTCTTGGGAAGCTGTTACCCTGCCCGACTGGGCTGCACTTCTCTCTGCCCTGTGCCACAGTTCCCAAGGCCAGCACACCTCATCAGAGCAACGCAGTGCTGTGCCTCTTACCCCGTTCAGCACTGTGAGGATAATGCCTTCGCATCTTCAGTACTATCTGGCACACAAAAGTCGTTTAGTACATTTATTGACTGAATGAATGAATGAATATGGGAGTGAATAAACAAGTGTGAATGATAAAATTCTTTAAAACATACTCTTCTTTATTCAGGAAAAATATCCTTTGAAACTAGTAGAAGCCAGTGAATTATCAGAGAGGAAATGGAATGTTTCCATTTGGGATATTTCATCAAATATAAAATCTCTTGCTGCAGGCTTTTGGATGATTCTGAAACTATCTCCCTGGAAGATGCTGTAGCAGCTGTATAATTTTTTATTGATCTGAAGAACTATGAGATAAGGAGGGAAGATGTAGCAAGTTCAGCATTTTAACTGTAAGAATTGTATCACAGATTTTTTTTTTTTAAATCCACTGCTCTTATTTTACTCCTTCTCACTTGTTCCCCCCAGGGTGGGGAATATGAATAAGTCCGCTAACAAATAGGAATAAAAGTTACATAAGTTATGTAAATGTACAAAAGTACAAAAAGCCTTATCTATCACCTTTCTGCAGTGCCTCCTTTTGAATCCTATCCTTCTGGTTGCTTTCCCATGTTTTCCTTTGGCACTGAACTTTTTGTTGTTGTTATCACTGTCCCACCACGATATCAAGCTGGAAGAAGATAAATATGACCATCACTAAATCTCACACTTCCAAAAAAAGAGCCATCCAGATGAGGGATTTTTTATTTTATTGTTCAGTGCTTTGAATGATGTTGAATATAGGCTCCAAAACCAAATAGAATAGAAGTCCACAACAAAACCAAAATGCATGCAAAGTAGCTCAGCTGTGGGTGCTGGAATATTTGCTGCAGCTAACAGATTAACCTGTCATACAGCCTCCTGACAACTCCAGAGTTGGCAGACGCAGAAATGCAAATATGAACTGAATATATATGCAAATCCCAACCAAAGAACAGACTATCTTATGTGTGCCTTATATGCCTATGAGAAATAAGGATTTTTAAGCAGAATATTTTTATGGAGTTTGGGTTAATTAGTCAGCTTTCCATCACTGTGACAAAACACCTGAGAAAAGTAACCTGAAGTAAAAACCCCTTTGGGTTTTTCTGGCTCAGAGACTTCAGTTCACAGTAATCAGTTGCATTGCATTTATCCTGTAGTGAGGCAAAGTATCATGATGAAAAGGGCATGGTAGAACAGAGCTGCTTATCTCTTATCATCTGGGAAGTTATGGAAGAAAGAAGGGGTCCGGGGCCAAAATATACTCTTCAAAGTCATACCCCCAGTGACCCACCTCTTTCAACAAGACCCTATCTCCTAAAGTTTCCAGCCCTTGCTAACATTACTACCAGTGTAGAGATCATTCTGAAACTACCTCTATAGTACCACAAGCTGGGGACAAAGCCCAAAACACATGAGCCTTTGGGGGACGTTCCAGATGCAAACTGTAACAGGCTCACAATATTATTATTTCTTAGGACGATCAAAGATGAAAAAGAAATTATGATGTCATGAAATTTATACCCAAATGCATATTCCTGCAGGTGTGTTCATTTTTCCTGGACTTCTACTCTAGAGATCCCAACATTAATATTTCAGATACTAATAATCTTGATTAGACATACAAAAATGAAATGAGAATAATATGAATAAAGAGGAGTCTGAAGAGCAAACAAGTAAGCAATTATTAAAGATATCCTAAGGATCTACCAGGGGCAAATTTTAAGGTTAGTGTCATAGCGTAATCAAAGTGTGAAATACATTCTAAGACTTATAACAATATGTGTAAAGTGGATTAAAATAAGTGACGTAAAGGTCTGTTGGCAATATATAATATCAAAGCAATTGCAATTCTAAGGTTCATTGCAAGAAAGAAAAGCATGTCTCAGGAACACCGGGAAATAATGACCTTATTTTGCTATTCTGAATGTTACACTTTGCAAAACCCACTCACTTCCATAAGTTAAATACCAGCCCATTACACTGATGTCCCATGACTGTTTATCTCAAGCTTCAGATGTACAGCCTCAGACTCTCACGCTAAATACTGACTGGGCATCTCCATATTAATGTCCCCCAAACACATCATACTCAATACATTCAAAACCTCCTGGTTTCCCCACCCCAAACCATTCTACTCTGTTTCTACCTCAGTAAATATTCAAAACCACCCTTCTCTCAGTTTCAACGTCTTGAACTTCCCTCTCTCATTTTTAATCTCAAACAAAATCTGATTCTTCCCTAAAGTGTACTGTCATAAGTAAATTCCTAAACAGTCTGAAACAATAATCCCCATTGCCCCCACTGTGTGCAGTCTCCTACCTTTTCAACAAATGAATCACAGTCTGTCTTGCACTACCTATGTTCATGCATATCTGCACCCTACTAGATTCAAGGGACTGTGTTTTACTCATAGTCTATCTGTTCCAGCACAGAATGAGCACTTAATACATGTACATTGAATTGAGCCAAATTCAATATATATAAAGAAATCTCAAAGCAATTAAATCTTTCTCCAAATTGTAAAAATAAACAGTCTTCAGGATGGTCTGTTAGGAGGAAAAGGATAGAAGGAGATAAAAACACATCAAAGGACCTTCATTTAGTCACTGAAGGAATCCTGAAATGAACTTGACTCAGAAAACCTGGGGTGGCCAGGATCCTTCCTTATTGGAAACCAACACTCTTCCACACATAATGCTCTCTATACCACTTTTATCTTTTTTCTTTTACCCTGGCCGAGTCAGCTTTGAATACTGACAAGTTCTTCTAATACAGATTCTAATCCAGGTCACAGTGAATCTCAGAGTGATTTATTAAACTCTTGAGGTGGCACAAAGGTTTTTGTGTGGGGTGGGGGCTTTTTTTCTTGTTTTTCAAGATTCCTTCAAGCTTTTAAGAAGGTATAGTGTTGTTATTGTTGTTGTTGCTTTGTCTGTTCTTTGTTGTTGTTGTTTTTTTAAAGTCTGAGAAGTTATACTATATTCTCAGGTTCAGGAATTTCCGTTGATGTTGATACATTTATATTACTTTATATTAGATTAAAACTTTGCCGTACCCCTTTTATTTTATAGCCAAATGTTCAGATGGAGTCCATCCTGATAGTAAAATGCAAAAATTAGAGGGGGAAAATTGTGTTCAATCATTTGGTCTGCTCAAGCAAACAAACCTGCAATATGGAGAAATATTTACTTTACAAATGAATAGAGTCGTAAAGAATATCACACAACTTTGATCCTATAATGATAATTATCTTCATATGCATAATATACACATACACACGTATGCATTTGACAAAAAAAATTGTTAAGCTCTCACTACATATGAAAGATGATGGTAGAAGAAAATGTAATAAAACATGGTCTCTATCCTCACAGAGAATATATTCCTTTACCAAATGTTTTTCTTTTTACAAGCAAGGTTTGTGTGGAATATCTTAAATTTTCTTCTTAAAATATAATCTAATAGATTAGGCTAGTTCAATATAATTAGGAGATTATGTTTTCAAAACTCTAAAGTTACAGAGATGTGATGATAATAGAGACCTCTATTCTCTGGGATAAGAATGATTGCAAAAGTCCCTTTCCCCACTAAATTCTATGATTTGGTGCATATTGAAACCTCTAAGGAGAATACATCAGAAAGATAATAGCAGAAGCCTTTATGAAGTTGTATAAAGAAACAGTATTACTTGAAGATACAAGGCGAGTGGTATTGGTTGATAGCTGACACATTCATAAATATTGATATTTTTAACTTTACTTTGTGAAAGCAAGTTTCATGGTAAACAGATATTAAAACATCAAGTGTCTTCCATATTGTAAATCAAATATTTCAATACTCCAGATAAACTGCCTCTTATTTAAACTGTCCAGGCCAATTCTAAAAACAATCATATTTATAACAAAGAACTGAATTCTAGATCGAAAATAAATTTCATAATATAAAATTTCTCAATATAAATAAATAAAACATATTTCATTTAAACATATATTTCCTCTGGGTTTGATCCCCAGCACCACAAAAATAAATACACACAAACATACATAAAATATATTTTACAAATACCCATTGATAGTCAATTAAATACATATTAATTTTAGTAAATTACGAAGTCCATTGTGTATTGCTGACATTTGAGAAGAATTTGGAAGAAATAGGGATAAAGCATTTGACATTAAATACAATGAATGCTTTTGTATATTTAGAGTTACGCACAAAATTTATTTAAGATATTAAGTATGATGTCTAAACATCAAAGCAGAGTCTAAGACATTTTTTAGTCAGTGATCAAATATTCACAGTACAAAGGAAAACTGCTGCTATAGATAGTTATCCCTAAGAGAGCAAATACCTTAGGTAACCCAGTTGTTCCAGATGTGTAAAGTATATACAGTGGATGTTCTGAAAGGACAGGAACACAGTCATGTGATTGGGCTTTCGCCATTTCTTCCTCCCAGTCAAGATCACGCCCTGATACCAAAGGAACTGTCTCCTACACAGCAAAATATAAAAATAGACATTATGAAAAGAATATTAAATCAAGGGAATAGAAAGTAGCTAAATCTATAGGAGTGTGAGCATCTGACTGAAACTACTGGCATATAGCACCACACACTGAATTTATGAATAGAAAATCTCAAGGTTCTTGGTGAAGATAAATGTTTATTAAAAAATCCCAGTGGTTTGACGTTAGCTTCAAATGAACTGACACAATGAATATATTTTATTCAAATCGAGGGATACCCTTAAGAAACTGAATCGAAGACAGTTAATTTTCATCAACACTCAGAGCTTAATTAACTCAGAGGTTCATGTTTCCATAGATGTATCTATATTAACAGCTTATAAACTAAGTTCTTTATTTTTTGAATCCTATTTCTTTTACTTTGGAAGTTCTGTCTTCACAATGAAATGTCAAATAACCCCTTAAAAGTTCTCTTTATACAAGGGAATTTAAGAGGAATATTGTGGCCACCTTTCCAAATGAGAGCATGTCAAATGATCTTCTGGAGTGGTGAAGAATTCTACTTTTTTCAAGAACAAAAATTAATTATTAAAATTAATGAGTATATGTGACATATCTAAAAGACTACCCAAGTTTTCCTTATCCTAGGTCATTAATTGATGTAGAAATCAATCTCTTTCTTTCCTTCCTTCCTTCTTTCCTTCTTTCCTTCATTCTTTTGTTCTAGGAAACTCTTTGTTGTAAACTTTGTGATAATAGATTCAAGGGTTAAATAAATACATCTTTAAATAAAGAGATTGTCTTTAAAAATAGCAGCCATGAAATGGCCAGATAAATAAAGAGCAAGGAAATAGTTTATGGAAGAGTTACTGTAATGAAGAGCTATCTAAATAGACTTAAGACCCATTAGGTAACTTGTTATTTTCTAAAACACTAACTTGAGTTCACGATCACATATCAGGTGAAGTTTGTAATTGATAAGCATGATAGCACAGGCACAAACAAGCTATACATTCCTTGGTAAATCTAGAGGGATTCACCAACTAGAGATGTATATAATCATTCACTTCATCACGGTGATTACTGAGCTAAGCGAAAAGACTCTGAGAGACTTGGAATAGAAAGACAAGACACTTCTATTTTTCAGGCTTCTTCATACGTTAATCAGGGCTATAAAATGTGGTTATATGTTAAAGTAGGCACATTTACAAATTAATGTGTCTATATAATATTACAAATATAAATATAAATAAATATAAATATGAATAAACCCATGTAGAAATAATCTGAATTGATCCTTCATGAAGGTGATATTTCAGTCCCACTTGGCTTCTCTGAGCCCACTCTAATTGGCACTAGCTGGTGCCATTTAGACAAACAAAAATAGCTAACCATGAGCAAATCATGTTTTCATTTCTTTTCATGCATCACATAAAAACAACTAATTTCAAATTATCAAACCTTTGACATCACAATTACACATCTATAAAAATAATCACACTGAAAAAATGAAAAATGTGAATTGAGTGATCACAGAAATAATTATAGATACATAATTTTTATAGGCCACTATTGAAATGAGGGCTCAAATGGATGGCTGTTCTAAAGACTAAAAAAAAAAAGGTGCGAGTAAAAGAGACATGACAAAATGAAGAGAGAGAAAAATCAATATTTAGCTTTTGCATATACGCATTTACTTTTACAGACATGACTTTCCTAGTTGTTATAATTCCTAAAAGGTAGTACTGGAGGAGCATCAGGGGTGTCTGATGTGATATTCCTTTGATTCTGTCATGCTTGCCTGAGGCTCAGGAGTAGTGCCAAGTTTTTTACCTCCCTGGCAAAAAATGTAATCCTGGTTAATGAGCTACACCGCTCAGGCTCATAATCTGTGCCTCTCTAAACTCAAAGCAAAGCTAATCCACTGGGTTTAATTACTGCCTGAACCGTAGGTCTCCTATGCAGGACAAGAGATCTTCAAAGCCCTCATCCATGTCACAGTGGAGGAAAGAGTCTAGAGATAAAGGGAGAGAGAGAGAGAGAGAGAGAGAGAGAGAGAGAGAGAGAGAGAGAGAGAGAGAGAGAGAAGAAAGGTAGTTATCAGGGAGGAGTAAACAGACAGCACATCTCTATTTAAGAGGGAAAAAAAAGAGATTTGTATTTAAGAAAAAAAATCTTGAGTAGAGAACATTGATATGCACAAAGATGCATTTATAGAGTAAAATAAATAGCATATATCTTGTTGGTCCAAAGTCATTAAAACCAGAGTTCAAATTTTGCTATACCACTTACTAGCTGGACTTTAACTGCTTCAGTTTCCCAAAATGGGGCCAGTAGTAAGATCTAGTTTGTTGATTTATAAGAATTAAATAAGAAAAGGCATTTGAAAGTTGCTAGCATTGAGTCCTGCCCATCATAAGGTCTTCACAAATTCTCTGTGAATTCATACTCTATGTGTGGGAACAGTACCCTACGTCACATAAACACACTTTTGTGTGTGTTTCTGTCATTCCTTGAATATCCCTTTACCCAAGCTTTCTTAATTGCTCACTTTGAATTTCTTGATTTAAATGGCAACAAAGCCTTTTTTTTAAAGATATGCTTGTGGTCCTCTGAAAGAAATTTAAATTTTTCTTCAAGACAGTAAGAACATTAAAATCAGTGAGTGCAGCAGTTCATGAACCACAGACTACTAAAATTTTACCCATGAATTTAATGTACTAATGGGAATTGCTAGGTGATAATCAAAATGACATAGTTCTAACAATCTTTGTTCTCATATGGTGTCATTTAAGTAATTTCTGTAGATAACCTCTCAAGAGCTCCATAAAATTGTACATGATTCTTTGCACCCTTGTAATTTCTCCTCTGCAAAAATGTTTTAATCTGCTAAGAACCCAATTTGGCCCTACCACAAATAGCTGGAGACTTGATTTGAATGTAAAGATAAGGTGATTACCAGGTCAAAATAATTATAAAATGTATACATTGTTATATTATGGTACTTTTTCTTCCTTCATTGATCATAGAATTTACCTCTTTAGAATATTCATTCATGCTTTATTTTCCTGAACATGGTTTTATTTCTGGCCTAAATGCTTGTCTTAATTTAAAAAAATATTTTGCATAAAAATTAATCACACCTCTCCAATAGGCAACACAGTGGAGGGATGAAGCACATGGTCATGGAGCCAGTGTCCAAATCATGACTCTTGCACTTACTAATCAAGCAAGGTACTTGTCTCTAGGTCCACTGATTCTCCTTTAAAATAGGAATCACAGTATCATCTAACTGATAGTTATTAGAAATATTTTTTAAATTATCTACTAGAAGAATATCTTAAAAATCAAATGATAGGCAATTAGTGTTCATTAGTATATACGTTATAAAATTTAAAGCAAGAAATGATGCCACACTAGCACTATACATAGAACTTAATCCATGAATATTACAAGTATTTATCTGTTTCAACTTTTTTATTTTAACCTACTTTTCACACACAAAAAAAGTAAGTACTTTTTTATATCTTTTCACCCTAGAAATAGCAACCACATTCAGGATATATATATATATATATATATATATATATATATATATATATATATATATATATATATATATAGTTTTTGGATGAAGTGTCTCTTTCAAAATGGTCAAAACCAGAACCATCCTTAACACAGTAACAAAACAAGAATCAAGTGAAATATTCAAATTACCATATTCGGACGATTATAAATGAGAACTTTGTCTGGTGTGTGTTGACCTATTCTCAGCGCTTCTTCTAGAAGAGGTATGTACTCTACCTTCCTTCCAGGTTCAATGCCAAATGATGCTGTAACAACCACCTTGGGCTAAAATTAAAAAGAACTGGAATAAAAATCAAGAAAGCTTTAACAATCCCAATTAAAGTAATCACAATATTTCAGGTGCAGATTGGCAGTTTTAACATTTCTAAGAAAATGTTTGAATGATTCTGTTCTCTGTTGAATAAATGACCTGAAAACCAATACACCCCTTTTAAAAATGTTATAGACCTAATCCTTTCCACATAAATCTCACTTACCTCTTAAAAATTACACACTTGGTGATACTTTGGGCTCATAAAAACAAGCTATACAAAATATCTTCTAAAGAATTCATTAAGCCAGGTGGATGTGCTAAGATCCACTGAAATGTAAACCTTAGGGGCCCTTGCACACACACACAATATCATAAGAGCTGGTTTTGAGGGAGGCTTCAGCATTTCCTAGCTGGAAAGCACCAACCCAATTGTAATCAGAAAGCACTTCTAAGGCTTTCTATATGAATCTCTTCTACATGCCTAGAGACCACAGGAGGATCTGATTCTCCCATAATCTTTTTACCATTTTGTTCTCATTCTAAAGACAAATTCATGTTCACAAAACATTACATTTGTAATTTTATATTATTTTTCACAAAAGAATTCCCAAGTAATTTAAATATCAAGCTCCACAAAGTTTGGACATGCCCCTATCAATATGATACCCTCCAAATTCTTCTTTAACTGACAATTTGCTAGTCACTTTTATTTTTTTTAATTCATTTATTTATTTATTCTAATTTGTTATACATGAAAGCATAATGCATTTCAATTCACAGTACACAAATAGAGCACAATGTTTCATTTCTCTGGCTGTACACAAAGTATCACACCATTTGTGTCTTCATACATGTACCTAGTGTAATAACATACATCTCATTCCACCATCTTTCCTATTCCCCCTCCCTTCCTCTTTGTGCTATCCAAAGTTCCTTCATTCCTCCTATGCTCCCCCAACCCCCATTATTGATCAGCATCCATTTATGAGAGAAAACATTTGGCCTTTGTTTTTTGGAGGATTGGCTTATTTCACTAACCATGATATTCTCCATTCCTATCCATTGACCTGAACATGTCATGATTTTATTCTCTTTTAATGCTAATATTCCATTGTGTGTGTGTGCATGTGTGTGTGTATATATATATATATATATATATATATATATATATATATATCACAGTTTCTTTATCCATTCCTCTATTGAAGGGCATCTAGGAGGTATGCAGGTGTAGCCAAAGTGTCCCTGGTAGGGACTGAAGTTAGGGTTAATCTCCCTTCCTTGTTACAAGCTGGGCATGCCTCAAATATCTGTATATAGTGAATGATTCTTTAAATTCCAATACTGCTCAGTAAGTAGTCCAAGGCCAAGTCTGGATGTCATTTATCTTCTGTGCCTGTATAGGGTCTATCATTCCACAAACTCTCAACAAAAATTGCAGGACTAAATGAAAATTTTCATTAATTTGCAGAAACAAACATTTTTATTCTTTTAAATGCATTGCTTCCTAACCAAAAAATCCAAAACAAAGGAGATATATAATAAATGATTCAAGAAACAGCTAATCATTTCATGGTATTGCATTTAGTCTTGAATTCTGATTTCTGGTTATAATATATTTCATCTATGGAAAGTTTATATTGTGCAAATATATACATTTATAGTATTCTTTGCTTCTTGAATATCATTTAGTATTTATGGAACTGAGGCTCAGTGCAGTTACAAAGCTTGCCCCAGGTTACAAGGGGTAGAGACAGAAATGGGGCCAGTTCTTTGTGATTGAATAACCTTTCTCTTTCCTCTATAGCAAAATGATTTTTTTTAAAAAAAAGCAAAGGAAGAAAGAAAAGAAGTCTTATTTCCTTTTATTGTATTTTTGAAGGTAGATATTTGAATATAATTTGCACTTTAATATCTGTAAAACTTACAAAAATAGTTCTAGTTAAAATTCCATAAAACTAGGATTCTGAAAAAATGGAAGTATGCTACATATCAAGTTAAGAACATATATAGAATGTATCAGAACTTGAATAATTTAATAAAGTCAAAATTAGACTACTCTGGAAAAGTAATCCCTTTTGAATTTTATTGACAACTTTTATTAGAGGTTTTATTGGGTCTAGACTGACATTTTAGAATATATCCTTTTCATCTTTGTCTGTTAAAATTTAAAAAAAAATTCTTTAGCCAATTTGTTTGAAAATCAGGACATAAAAATCACAGATTTCAAATATTTGTTTTGTCTAGAAATCTCATATGCATATCTCTATCTCCATCATCTCTCCTTAAATTTGACCTAATAGCCTTACCCATGAGTATGCATGTATTGCCTCTACTCCTTAACAATATTGTACATCTGTGTGTGATGAATAAAAACTCCTCCTGCAGTGCAGCATTGGGTAGGTCCTTATTTACATACATATTTATATATGTACATATATCTATATATATTTTATATATTTCAATTTCTTCATATCTTATAGGACGTATCTTAGAAGAAAATAACATGTCTAGTACCTTTGTCTAAATGGTATTTAGCTTTTCTGTAGCTAAAAACCTAGAGCCTATAGCTTCCTAAGAGCCCTTACCAACTTCCCAAGAACTTACAGGTCAGTGACAGATTGATAAAACCCTCTAGGTTTCTTTCATAAGCAATAACTTCACGGGTCAATAATAATAATAATAATAAAAAGAACTCAAGTACTTAGTCCACAAAACAACTTTCTAGTTCTAATACCTTACCTTTTAGCAGATAAATTAAGCTATATAAAGCCTCACTCTAGGCTTAGCACTCAGAGGACCTAGAATGCAAGCTACTTCCCTAAAAACACCTTGTCTTCGTGTCTGAAACTCTAAAAGCCAGCCATCTCTTAACTCCTACAAGGACTTTCCTTCCTCAGTCTTACAACTGACATGTTCTGATTTTTAAAAAATTTCCTATTTCTTCAAAAGTAGAACACGTACCAGAGTGTCTCGATAAGGCCTCCAGCCTCGCTCCTCATTCCTATGATATTGCAAAGCTTGTCTCCTCTTTAACATTTTTTAAAACATGACACTCACCTGCTCAATAACTTCCAGTGGTTTACTTACAGGTCAGACAAAACCAGCCTTGGCAAGCTCACTTTTCTATTTTCTCTGTCACGCCAATCTACTTGTTTCCTCCCAAATGACTTTTACTCTTTCCTGCCAGTAATGCTTGATTCGTACTGTTTCCCCGGCTTTTGGATCCTACTAACGTCATTCTCTTCCACCTGAATCTCAGCCAAGACCTAACTCAGATCTCACTTTTTTTTTTTTCACAGAGCCCTCTTCAGCTAACAAAACCAAAAGAAATGTCCCTTCCTCAAAATTAGGGAGTCTGCAAACTATTTCTGTCAAGCTTTATCAGAACACAGACATGCCCATTGTGGATTTACTGCCTGAGGCTGCTTTTGTGCTACAGAAGTAGAGCTGGGTGCCTGCAACAGAGAACAGGTACTATGCAATGCCTGAAATACTCTCTGGTCATTTTACAGGGAAATGTTCACTGACCATTCTAAACTCATAGAATAATAATAATATTTAAGTGAATGTTACATCTTAGACACTGTGCTGTTTTAAATACAATATCTTAAGAATATTTTACAAATTATGAAATTGTTTCTCTTAGTATCCCATTCAAACGTGACCCTAGCCCTCTCTGTCCTTAATCATTGGGTTATCACCCCATTCCTAGAAGTATATAGATTTTTGAAAATAATTATGTGCCCACATATTTGATAACTATTATTTTTTATACTTTTCCAAGGTCAGTACCAAGCACATGGAGGGAGCCTAATAAATGAATGTTGAACAAATAAATTAATAATTATTTTTCTTATATGTCTTATATACCACAGTATATGACAAGATAACTTGAAAGGCATATACCTTATTTTATATTTTACATTTCTCAAAGCACTTAGCACCCAGAACTGACTCAAAAAAGAATGTAAAAGTAACAGATAAATGTCAAATAAAAACATTTTTTGTATGTGTGGTGTGGGGATTGAATTGTGATTTGAATCCAAGGCCTTGTGCTTATGAGGCAAGCACTCTACCAACTGAATTGCAGGTTGCATCGCTATACCAGAACTTAAACTGTACTATAGGGCAATAGTAACAAAAACTGCATGGTATTGGCACCAAAATAGATTTGTAGACCAATGGTACACAATAGAAGAGAGGACACAGAGACATAAATACAGTTATCACATACTAGACAAAGGCACCAAAAACATATATTGGAGAAAAGATAGCCTCTTCAACAAATAGTGCTGGGAAAACTGGAAATCCATATGCAACAAAATAAAATTAAGCCCCTATCTCTCACCATGCACAAAACTCAACTCAAAGTGGATCTAGGACTCAGGAATTAAACCAGAGACCCTGTGCCTAATAGAAGAAAAAGTAGGCCCAAATCTTCATCATATTGGATTAGGCCCCAACTCCTTAATGAGACTCCTATAGTGTAAGAAATAAAATCAAGAATCAATAAATGGATGGATTCAAATTGAAAAGGCTTCTTCTCAGCAAAAGAAATAACCAGTGAGGTGAAGAGAGAGTCTACAGAATGGGAGCAAATACATCAGATAGAGCACTAATCTCTAGAATATATAAAAACTTAAAAATCTTAACACCAAAAAAAAAAAAAAAACCCGATCAATAAATGGGCCAAGGAACTGAACAGACACTTCTCAGAAGATGATATACAATCAATCAACAAATATATGAAAGAATGTTCAACATTCCAGCAATTAGAGAAATGCGAATCAAAACTACTCTAAGATTCCATCTCACTCCAGTCAGAATGCCAGTTATCAAGAATACAGGCAATATGAAGTGTTGGAGAAGATGTGGGGAAAAAGGTACACTCATACATTGCTGGTGGGACTGCAAATTGGTGCAACCACTCTGGAAAGTAGTATGGAGATTCCTTGGAAAACTTGGAAAGGAAACACCATTTGACCCAGCTATAGCACTCTTTGGTTTATACCCAAAGGGCTTAAAAGCAGCATACTACAGTGATGCAGCTACATCAATGTTTATAGCAGCACAATTCACAATAGCTAAATTGTGGAATCAACATAGATGCCCTTCAGTAGATGAATGATAAAGAAACTGTGGTCTATATACACAATGGAATATTGCTCAGCATTAAAAGAGAATAAAATCAGGGCATTTGCAGGTAAATGGATGGAGTTGGAGAATATCATGCTAAGTGAAGTAAGCTAACCCTCAGAAAAAAATGCAAAATATTTTCACTGATAAGTGGATGCTAATCCATAATGGGGATTAGAGAGAGCATGGGAGGAATAGAGGAACTTTAGATAGGGCAAAGGTGAGAGAGGGGAAGGAAAGGGGTATGGAGGTAGGAAAGATGGTGGAATGAGATGGACATCATTACCCTAAGTATATGTATGAAGAAACGAATGGTGTGACTCTATTTTGTGTTCAACCAGAGAAATGAAAAATCGTGCTCCATATGTGTACTATGAATTAGAATGCATTATGCTTTCACGTATAACAAATTAGAATAAATAAATTTTAAAAAAATAAAACAACAATACATTTTAAAAAATATATAAGAACAAAAACTTAATTCATGAGGTGGTGCACACCTGTAATCCCAGTGACTCAGGAGGCTGAAGTAGGAGGATTATGAGTTTAAAGCCAACCTCAGCAACTTCGATGTGCTAAGCATCTCAGTGAGACTCTGTTTCTAAATAAAATATAAAATTGGGCTGGGGATGTGGCTCAGCGGTCTAGTACCCCTGAGTTCAATCCCTGGTACTGCCTCCCCAAAAAAAATTTAATTCATGACTTAATGGCTTGATAGTGAATTTGTTTTACCATTGAATAGCATTTCATTAGATGGATGCATGACACTTTGTTTATCTATCATCTGTTGAAGGATATTTTGGTTGCTTTCAGGGTGCTTTTTTGTTTGATTGATTTTTGTTTGTTTTGGTGATGATGAATAAAGCTGCTATAAACAAAAAAAAAGAAAAAGAAAAACAAATTTTAAGTACCCCATTTGAAAAGAAGATCAAAAGAAGTAAGAACATTCTTGGATAACTCATCCACAGGTAAATATGGCTATAATATAGGTAGCTACAACCCAATTTCCCCAAAGAAAGCACTTACCTTTGCATGATCAATGCGACTGCTTAATTCTTTGGATGCAAATCCCCCAAATATGAGACTGTGGATGGCTCCTATCCTTGCGCATGCCAGCATGGTATACATTGCTTGTGGGATCATGGGCATGTAGATGACAACAGTGTCACCTTTTTGGATTCCATACTTAACCAAAACACCAGCCAGCTTAGAGACCTGTTACAAAATCAATAGATCAGCAAAGTTTTTCTGTATTATTTCAGTAAATATGTAAGTTAAGGCAGAAATACTTGAAGTTGATCATCCCCTTGGTAATGGATTTAAAAAGGTGAGAAAACACATATTTGATCATGGATGATCAAATGGTTTAGATGGTGACAATAATAACAGACATCTGCATCATAATTGATTATTAATCAATCTACTATTATTACATCATATGAACATTATTGCTTACATTTGCTTAATCCTAAGACATCTTTACCGAGCAACTGTTATGTGTCAGACATAAGGTTTAAAGTTGGGAGCATGAATCTGAAAAAGAAAGACACCAAACTGCCCCTGTGGAGCTTATATTCTAAAAGATAATCTGTCAAGTAAAAAAGAAAAATAAAATAATGATAAATTTAGATGAAAGTTGGGTTAACTATTGAAAGAAACAAATAGATATTAAGAAAGAATTCACTTCCATACACTTATAAGGCAAATAAGATAGACTCTACTATATTGTTATTCCCATTTACAAATAAGGTAAGTAAGTCTGAGAGCTAATGAATTGTTAACTTATGATCAGAAAAGTAGTAAGTCATGTATCCAGGATTACTGATATCATGTTCCACACTCTCTCTATTATCTCAAGCCAATTACTTTTTCTTTATAGTTTTTATATGAATTATTTATATAACACAATTTTCTTTTGGACCCAACACTTGAAATTCTTTTTACTTTCAACATTTTTTTTTGTTAACAAACATACAAACTCTCTTTCCTCTTAATATGTATTTCTGCAATTTCTGATAATAAATGCAAAATAGATCCTAAGCCCACACAAGAGATAATTTGTTGCAAGAAGTCTTTCCACAAGCAATTAGAGCAGGCTGTACAAAGTATGGCAACCCTAAGTGTTCGATATTCTTTCACTTAAAAATATTCCACTATAAAAAAAAATGGTTCCTGGAATATAATAAGTTCTCTCTTTATCTCCTCCCTTGTCTTCCGCAGCACTGCTGACATATCATTAAATAAAACAAGACAAAGATCTCTATCTTTCGGGTGCTTGTATTTTAGCAAATGAAATACCAAAAACCCCAAACATGATAAACACATTATATATATATATTAAAAGCTATGGGGGGAGGAGAGCAGAGAAGAGTAAACAGGGTTGGGAGGTGCTGGGTAAGGGGCAGATGTCATTGTCAATGGGACAATCCAGGGAGACTTCAGCACAGACATGGAGGGTTGAGAATCAGCGGATCTCAGGGGATCGATATTATTTTAGGCAGTGGGAATGACAGCACAAATGTATAAAAGGGAAAGGCAATCATGAGAGATTCAAGGAGCAGCACAGAGATCAGAGGCAAGAGCACGAACAAGTGAGAAGGTAGCTGTGGATCAGGCAGAGAGCTCAAGGGGCCTGCAGGAGCCCAGGAGGCCAATGGAAGGTAAGCTGGTTGCCTTTAAATGTGACTGTCCAACATAAAGAAAGATACCATCTCACTCCAGTAAGATTGGCAGCCATTAGGAAGTCAAACAACAATAAGTGCTGGAGAGGATGTGGGGAAAAGGGCACTCTTGTTCATTGCTGGTGGGACTGCAAATTGGTGCAGCCAATTTGGAAAGCAGTATGGAGATTTCTTGGAAAGCTGGGAATGGAACCACCATTTGACCCAGCTATTCCCCTTCTCGGTCTATTCCCTAAAGACCTAATAAGAGCATGCTACAGGGACACTGCTACATCGATGTTCATAGCAGCACAATTCACGATAGCAAGATTGTGGAATCAGCCTAGATGCCCTTCAATAGATGAATGGATTAAAAAAATGTGGCATTTATACACAATGGAGTATTACTCTGCATTAAAAAATGACAAAATCATAGAATTTGGAGGGAAATGGATGGCATTAGAGCAGATTATGCTAAGTGAAGCTAGTCAATCTTTAAAAAACAAATACCAAATGACTCCTCTGATATAAGGGGAGGAAACAAGGACAGGGTAGGGACGAAGAGCTTGAGACGAAGATTTTCATTAACAGGGTTGAGAGGTGGGAGGGAAAGGAAACGAGAAGGGGAATCGCATGGAAATGGAAGGCGATCCTCAGGGTTATACAAAATGACATATAAGAGGAAAGGAGGGGTAAGACAAGATAATTCAAATGGAAGAAGTGATTTACAGTAGAAGGGGTAGAGAGAGAAAAGGGGAGGGGAGGGGAGGGGAGGGGGGATAGTAGAGAATAAGACAGACAGCAGAATACATCAGACACTAGAAAGGCAATATGTCAATCAATGGAAGGGTAACTGATGTGATACAGCAATCTGTATACGGGATAAAATTGGGAGTTCATAACTCATTTGAATCAAACTGTGAAATATGATGTATGAGGAACTATGTAATGTTTTGAACGACCAACAATAAAAAAAAAAAAAAGAACAGAGGAGGCTTGAGAGAAGGAATTGGGCCACTTGCTGTTTGTGGTTTCTTTTATTTCACTCAATCCCTCCCAATTTCTGAAGAAGTTTAAGGAATTCTGAATCCTGACCATTTTCCTTTCTTTATTCACTGTCTCTGGGTAGAAAGGGGAAGGTGTGGGCAGGGTTAAGAAGGAGATAAAGTAAAATACCATCTGGTGAAAGAGAGAAAGTAAAATACCATCTCACTGATTTATTCTTCCCTAAACTGCAAACTCTGTATTTGAGTGCTATGTTTAAGAACTTCATGGGAGGGGAAAGGWGGGGAAGGGGGGATAGGAAGGACAGCAGAATAAAATAGACACTAGTATTGCTATATGTATATACGTGACTACATGACCAATGTGATTCTGTAACCTGTACACTCAGAAAAATGAGAAATTATACCCCATTTGATTCAAATGTATGATATGTCAAGATCATTGTACTGTCATGTTTAACTAATAAAAAATTCAAAAAAGGAATTTCAAAATGTCCAACAAAAAATTACAAGAAAAGTATCCCAAAGAAATATAAATCATGATGGACATCATTATACAAAGTACATGTATGAAGACTTTAATTGAGTGTCAATATAGGTTATATACAAACAGAGATACAAAAATTGTATATATGTGTATTAAGAATTGTAATGCAAAAAAAAAAAAAAAAGAATAGTGTTACCTTAGATTAGGTAGAGGGAAGTGAAAGGARGGGAAGGCAGAGGATGTGGGGATAAGAAAGATAGTAGAACGAAACAGACATTATTACTTTATGTATGTATGTGACTGTATACTCAGAAAAATGAGAAATTATATCCCATCTATGTATGATATATCAAGGTATATAAGTACATTCTTCTGTCATGTATAGCTAATTAAAACAAATAAAAAACTTTAAAAAAAGAAATATAAATCATGAACAAATTCTATATGGTGCTCAAGAACCAAGATTAACACTGGGAAATTATAGCCAAACATTCCAGTGTATATTCCCTGCAGAAAGTGACCATGCTCTGTGATGACATTGATGAGCTCCCCATTTAAGGTAGGGATCTAAAAGAGACAAAGGAAAAAGAGTTTGCTTATTCACAGCTATAATTCTAACACTTTGAATAGTGCCTGTTGTTGAATAAAAATAATCCTCAACCAAGACTCAACCTAGCAATGACCAAGTAGCTTTGTATTTCAGTCTCATTGCCTAGTGTTGAATGTTCTGGGAAATGCCCATACCTCTTCTGTCCTTTGAAGAAATGAAATCAAGAAATTTAAGACCTATTGTTGCAACTTATACTTCAAAATCATGGGTCATAGGGCAAATATGACCTCAAGATCTATATAAGTTGAGGCCACATCACATCTTAAAAAATAAGCTGGCATATTAAATTTAGTAGGTCTCATATACACTGTGGTTTAGAGATTGTTTGAGAGCATCCCTCAGGTTCATGTGCTGGAAGCTTGGTCCCCAGTGTGGGAATATGGAGAAGTGATGAAACTTTCAAGAGGCAACCAAGTCATTGCAGGCATCACCCACAGAAAAGAGTAATGTAGTCCTGAAGAGACTCCAGTTACTTTCTGCGAGAGCAGGTTGTTATGAAAAGAATATGCCTGGACTCTGACTCTCTTACTTCCTCTCTGTCCATGTGCTCTCTCTCTTTCACACATATTCTTGCTATGATACCATCTACCATGTTTTGATGTAGCAAGAAGGCCCTCACCAGAACCAAGCACTCTGATGCCATACACTTGAATCTCCAAACTTTTAGCTTAATAAGCGCTTTTTATGTGTAAAGTATCTAGCCTTTGGTATTTTGTAATAGTAACACAAAATAGACTGATACACATATCTAGAACATGTTTTCTTGAAAAAAATGAAAGGTCTAGCACAACCAGGTCAGTGTTCTAGAATGATAAATAATCAATGAAACCTGGTGCTAGCTGAGCATATTGCTATAGAACTACCATTCATAGGGGCATTTGGTTTCCAGTCAAAGTTTGAAATCTATCCTCCTACATCCTATGAATGTATATTTTATGTTGTATGCTTACACCATAGTTCCATAACTGTATAAAAAGTGTAATATGTACCAATAATTGATTTTTCTCTCAATTGATATTTCTTCCATTTATATTATTTGCTCAGCTTCTCTAGACATCTGAATTATCAACCAGCACCCTGAAAACAACTTTATCAAATTAGGCTGCACCAGTTCTATAAGACCACTAGATGGAGTCAATTTTTCCTTACTTCTTCGAGTTATATTTCAATATTTTGACCATGATATCCACATTAGAGATAGTCTAACAACAAAAGTTTTACATGACTAATATGGATTTCTTTTTCAGGAGTTTCCAGAGCTTAATTTCACTCCAATAAAAATTCCCAATGTAACTTGTAAAGTTAGATGGATAGAAAGGTTGATATGTATATAGATAATATATGTGAGAAAATTTATGGGAAAATATAATTCTGGTGAGACTTTTAATAAATGGACTTAGAAAAGACAAGGTATTAATTCTTACCAAGAGAAAGTAAATAGGTGTTGATTTAAT